CTAAAGCCAAAAACACTGAGCACTGACAATGCCACCAAATCGAGCGCCCCGGGGGGCAGCCAGGAGACGCAATTTCGTGGTTTCGGCGACAGTCCGTATGGCCAGGTGAATAAACAGCTATACGGCTCGCAGCTGCAGCATCTGAAGCTGCCGGAACCGGAACCGCCTGCCAAGCACCGATCCCCGGGCATGGTCGTCTTTCCCAGGTTCTATGAGAGCGTCTTGGAGGAAGACAGTTGCAATGCTGTCGATATGCCGCCGGCCGCAATAGCTGCAGCCATAGCAAAACCAAACACAGACAACTTGTCCTTTGATGGCAAAATCAAAAGTCTGACTGAGGCGCCCAGCAGCTCACGGCTGCCCACTGTGCCGGAAAGTGCGCCAGAACAGCAGCAGCAGCTGTCAGAATCATATATTATATTCAAAAAAATGAACAACGAACGCTCGCCTGATCTATTTGCCGAGAGCGATGATGAGGAGGAGAACGGCGACAACCAAACCGATAAGGGACTGGGCACAACGCTTGAGGACCTGCCCGAGGTGCTGGAGGAGAGTCAATGCGTTAGCGAGGCGCCAGCTCCGAGTCACAATACCAGCGCACGTTACTCTCTGACAGCGCCCACGGAATCCAGTTTCGTGGACGAGCACACGCTGGACACGCAGCTAACCGGCAGCGATACTCGCACGCATTTCATCGAGAATTGTCGGCGGGAGCGTGAGCTCTATCGTCGCATCAGGCGCTGTTTGCAGGGTGTGCGCCCGCCGCCCACAGTGACCACGCCCGACATCGATGTCATCAGCACCGTGGTGAACATGAAGGAGAATGTGCTCAATTTCCTAACTTCGCCGTCCAGCATTGAGGACAGTGGCATCTGTGCCACGCCCTCGCTTTTCAAGCCCACGCACAGCCTGGCCGAAGCGCAGGGCATGAGCTGGCGCGAGGTGCTCGGCGTGCGCCAGCATGGACTAAGGTAAGAGGCGAACAAACGATTCCACTTGCTGTTCACAAATAAAACCGACTCCCTTCCAGCTACAACTTAAACAAGGCGGCCGAACAAAATGAATACCTCAGTCTGTCCGTGGTGGAGCGTTATGTGGGCGCAGAAACGGCCACGTCCTATGTGCGCTCGCCGTCGAGTGCCAAGAAGCGCAACATGCGCATGAAGTGAGTAGAGCAGTGATTACCCGTTGAAATGGACATTAATTGAACAAATTATGCTCTACAGAATGCTAACGAAATCCCCAGGAAATCGGCTCAGTCACTTGGCCAAACGGCGTGCCATATTTTCATCGGCAAATCTGGCTACAAACTCCAACAAACTGAACAGTTCCATGGGCCCGCAGATACTACTCGATAAAAAGTAAGTATTTTCCGTTTGTTGCTGCGTTGTCAACTACAGTGAACCCTCGATTTATTTAACAGAAAAGAGCGCAACAAACGAAAAGCAACACCGAAACGCAAAACGCCGGGTAGCAAAAAAAAATGTAAGTTTCTCAAAGTAATATACTTTATTATAGATAAAAATATTTATAAGTAATATCTTTTAACACCAACTCGATCTCCCCACCAAAATAACAATTTACCATATATTCCATTTATTTTGGGCTTAAGTATTTGGAAGCGGGGAACTTTAATTGAAGACATTAAATTTGGCAAGCAATCTACTTAAGTTAACATTATAATTGGTAAAAGGAAATGATTTTTGATATAAACTCAGATTTGACAGCGATTGATAAAAAGAGAAAAGATATTTGAAAAAAATAATGAGAACCTTCCGGTATTGTTGAATCTGTTGCCGTTTGCATTATTTATATATTCATCAACTTTGCATTCTTAAAGCTCGGAAAACACCGTCCTCCTCGGCTCGCAAGCGCCTCTTTCGCACCGATCTCATCAAGCCGGGTCCGTCGCGCGAAACATCGAAACGCGCGCTGTTCCAAAGCCCGGCCAAGTCGCTGCAACAGCAGCAGCAGCAGAAACTCATGCCGCCCAAGCCGCTCTTCAAGCCAGAGATAGCCAATCGCGTGGAGAAATCGAAGCGTGCGCTCTTCTCACCCGACAACGGCAGCCAGTCAAGCGCTGCGTGTGCCACCAGCGTTAGCAGCCAGCTGGAGAAGCTGCTCAAGCGCAAACGCAACGCTCACGACGACGAAGACGCCGCCGAGCTGGCCAGCCAGAGCAGCAAACTGTTCCGTGCCGGCGGCGCAGGCGGCAGCGGTCTAACGCCGCGCGCCCTCAAGATAAAGAGTCAGAGCTTTTGCATTGGAGCTGGTTCCTCCACAGCAGGTCAATACATGGCGGTCGCCAGCGTGCAGCAGCCCAGCTTCGCCGGCGGCGCCAGTCGACTAAGCCTCGGTCTGAGCGGCAGCAGCAGCAATTTGGCCGCAGGCAGCAAAACGCCAGCCGGCAGCAAATTGTTGCGCGCCCATTCAGAAATGAGTACCACGCCGCAAAGCGCCATGACGGATAATCAGCGCAAGGTGAGGCATTAACATATTAAAAAAGATTAGCTTTTGCAGCTATCTAAACTGAAAATTTTTTCCGCGCAGAAACTGCTGTGGGCCGTGTCGCAGGCGCTGCAGGACAGAAAAATATCGGTCAAGCACGAGAATTTCCGACAGCATGCGGCGGATTTGGCGCGCATTGTCAAGCGCATCTTTCAGGAGTTCCATCAGGGGCACACGACAAGCAACAGCGAGACCTTGCTACGGTTGGTATTGCATTACGTTTTCCTTTAACATTGTATGCTCACGAGCCGCATGTCTCTGCAGCCTGGCCAAGAAGTATGCCTTCAGCGTGATAGCCGGCAAGCAGCCGGATGACATCTACTTGCAGGCGCGCATCCAAGAGAGCGAAGCGAAACGACAGTCCAATACGCGCCTGTCGGGCTACATTGGAGCCGAGGAATTTGCGCAACGCAAGCTACTCTTATCGCAAAGCTCCACGCAGTCGCTGTCGCAGGTGTCGTTGACGCGCAGCAAGGCTGACGGTTCCATGCTGAACTTATTCGGCAGCGAGAACTCTATGGACTCGTTCGGCTTCAGTCAAACGAGCCAGAGCAACGGCGCCTCCAATCCGGCTACGCAGTCCAGTTTCATGGAACGCATCTCGGAGGATCTCTTCTCTAAGCAGCAGCAGCTGCCCATACAGGCCAATCCTTCGTTGCAGAATAGTTCATCCAAAAGCAATTTGGGCGGCCTGGCGTTGCGCGAGAACGTGCACTGCGAACAGCGTCGCTCAGCGCAAAAGAACTTCACCGGCAAGGATCAGCGCAATATCAGTCCCTATTTTGGTGGCGGCAACAGCAACGGTTCGGCACGCAAGTTCCAAGCGAACGCAGCCTCCAGTGGCGGCGACTCGGGCGCCAAGGCGAAGCGTCAGATTACCTTCGATAGCTAAAATTTTAATCAAAACTATTTATTTTCACAAAGTGTGTTGTTCCATATTGCTTGGATTGTTTTCTAGCCAAATTTATTTAAAAGCCGCGAAACTACAACTACAGAGACAGACGACTACGTACGTAGACGCATATCCAAATGAAAGGCAATATTTTTCGCGGAAGTAAATGAGCTTAAATGAGAAATGTAACTAAACGAGATAGCTACGTATAAATATGTATAAGAATAAGCTTTTATTCGGCTAACGCCTGGTTACGAATAAATGAAATATGAATTGTAAACAATGTAAACTCGGAATAGTATAAAATAAAAAGGATCAACTTAATAGTAGCCGCTGCGATTGATATAGCGCCGGATTAGCGTGAATGAGACAATGTGAAAGACCAATGCGACCACCAAAAGGCTAGCACAGTCCAGCCAGAAGGTGTAGTCGGCGGTGCGAAAGGACGCCTGCTGCAGTACCTCCAAGCCAGTCTGGACGCACGGATGCTCATCGTTGACGGGACAAGCTGTCGACGGAGAAACGTAAGAAAGGTAAGCAACAGAATATGCTATTTCGAAAAGTATCTAAATAATCAAAATATTTTTAATTCCGTAGCTGATGACGACCCTCGAGAGGAGTCGAAAAGTGAGATTAATTGTGTTCAGGATCCAAACGGGGCTCAGCAAATCTTATAGAAGTGGCAAACATTTCACCAAAATCCAACTATAATTAACTATTTTAAAATGTCATCTCACACTCACCAATGTTGTCTATGTCAATCCAAAAGTTGTACATCAGCGCCTCGTTGGAGTAGAAGAAGAGCGAGAAATATTTGAGCAATGGCACCGAGTCCACATTCATGTAGGTGCCGCCAAAAATGAGAAAGATCAGATCAAAGGGCGCCGCACACTCCGATGCCATTTTGTCCGTCTCAAAAAGGCTGGAGAGGAATACACCATAACCGACGGCGGCAATGGCAGAGAGACTCATAAGAAAGCCCATGGTTATATAGAGCAGAAAGCCGCGCGTATAATAAATCGAGGCGTAGATCACCGACAGAAACATGTAGCCCTTGAAGAAGGCAACCGGCACAAAGGACAGCACCAGGGCCACATAATAGGCGGACAGGCTGTAGGTGCCCTCGCCCACTTCGCGTCTTATGATGGGCAGGGCGGCGGGAAAGATGTACGTTACGCCGTAGCTAAACGTAAAGATCATCTCGTTGCTGAGCATAAATATGGAGCCGCCCACATCCTGGACGGTGCGCTGCGTCAGCCCGCCCACGCCGGAGTACATCAGAGAGAGCGTTACGGCGGTGGTCATGAAGAAGCCAAATCCAATGAGGCCGCTCCGAATGTTGCGCAGATCCTCGGTCATGAAGCGTATGACCAGCAGATACACCTGGTATATCCAGCGTATCTTCTTGAAGTTCTGGACATGCTTCATGTAATCTCCACTATAATTGCGAGCCAGCAACCAGCTGCCGCTATAGAGTCCGTCCGTCTCATGCTCGTATTTGGCACGCAGCAGCTCGCCCGCATTTTTAGAGCCTTGGCCATCGGCGAGGGTCTTCAGATAGAAGTCGGCCGGATTGCAGTTCTTTGGCTGCATAAAGCCCATGCTGGAGGGCAGAAGATGAAGTACATGTGTGTTATTCTCGACTGATCGACCAGGAGATACCCTACATACAGGTACCTACAACTTTTACTTAGTTATAGTATATATATTATTGATCCTTATCAACAGGCGAGTCGCTTTGTCGGTCTGCTTCTAATCGAACTAGTCCCTCAGTTTTAAATCTATTGGCAAGAAGTTTTGGGTTGGAACCAGAATATTAACTTCTTGTATGTGCAACTCATAGAAGGCGATATTTTCGACCCCATAAAATATATATATTCGTCTGATATAGCCAAGTCCATCCGTCTGTCTGTTAGTTTCTATGCGAACTCGTTTCTTACTTTACATAAGTGCGTCTTTCTGCGATAAGTCGTACATGGATCAGGCCACTATATCATATAGCTACCAAAGGAACAATCGGCTTTTCAAGATATTTTCATCAAACTCAGCAAAGCCGTAAGCCTTATGTCTACAAGGGTATTTAATCCCCAGCGTGGCGAAGATAGGAATTCTTTCTGCTTTTTTTCATATCTATGTCTATGTAAACACACACGCTAAGCGTGCTTTCCTTGGGAAGAAACTATATTAAATAACTTTTGTTAACCTTTCACAATATGTAGATAAAACGCGTGATAAAAATAGCTTTTCATGCTTTTCCTAATGTCTAGAGAGATAAAGTTGTCCAAATAAACACTGATATTTTTATACCCTACAAAGTATTTAAAAGTACAGCCGACCCGAGGTCATGTTCATCTCGCGAACTGGCAGCTTTGATTTTGTGATGTCAACTTTGATCGTTTGGCCAAGCACATATGCCCTGATTTGATATAGGAGCCACTTCACAGAGCTAACCAGACACCGACTGGTGGACATGGCTGGACTCCTACCTGCCTGAAAGGACGTTGACAGTTGTCGGGCAAGAGCGTGCGCCTCTCTTTGGCTCCTACCCAGCTCTGTAAAACTAGATTCCATTTTCTAATGGATCTATCAGATTTCTATATATTGCACCTTGTTTCGCTGTGCAGCGTAAGGTGGACATCCAATAGAGTCGAGGACACAACTCGACGACACTTACTCTGTAAAGAACTTGGCCGCCTGTTCGGTGCGTCCCTGGTAGACAATGCGGCCGCCGTCCATGAGAATGATGTGGGTGAAGAGCTCGAAGATGTCGGATGTTGGCTGATGAATGGAGCAGATGGCCGCCTTCTTTTGCGTACCGTTGGGACTGTTGTTGAGCACGCCCAGCGTGGGTAGCTCCTTCATGGCCTGCAGCAGGCTCTCGTGCGAGTTGTCCACAATTTCCATTTCAATGGAATTGCTGCCCGAGCTGCCGTTGTCACTGGGCGTCGCGAACGAGTCCTCGCCGTAAACCTGGGTCAGCGAGTGCTTGGCTATGCGCCGCCTGGTGCACAGATGTCGCAGCGTCTTGATGACCGTGTACGCACTGAAGCTATCCAGGCCGGTGGTTGGTTCGTCGCAAAAGAGAAAGATGGGATCTGTGATCAGCTCCTCGGCCAGGCTGAGTCGCTTGCGCTCGCCGCCAGACAGCTGCTGGATGCGTGTGTGTGCCGCATCCCGCAGCCCCACCGCCAGCAGCAGATCCGAGACGCGCTGCCGCTTCTCCGACTTGGTCGTTCGACGATGCATCTTGAAGTGGGACTAGATGGGAAGACGCACACCCGCTGCTGTTCAAAACGGTTAGCCAAGATATTTGGGTATGGACCTACCATGAAGTAGAGATGCTCGTAGGCGGTAAAGGTTTTCACATTGATCTCAAACTGCGGCAGAAAACTGGAGATGCGTGTCATCTGATCCCGTTCCATGGCCATGCCGTTTAAAACCACATCTCCGGTCAGGTTACCGCGCAGCCGTTGCGAAATCGCTGCCAACAGTGTGGTTTTGCCGGCGCCCGAACCGCCCAGTATGGCGATGAGGTCGCCCGTTTTCAGGTGACCGCTGACTGCAGATTAACCACACCCACAATTATTTCGAATGGGTCTGTGTGAACGAGTCTTACCGTCATGGAGAATGCGCAGCTCCCGCTGCTTGCGGCACTCGTTCCAAAAACTGTAATTGCTTTGCTCCTGCGCGGGCACATAATAGTTGAGCTGTTTCCACTCGAGGCACAGGCTGCCCTGTGCGTCGCCCTCGTCCATTGGCATTGCGCCGAGTTCAATGTACTCCCAAAATTTTAAGGTACAATTATGAATTTTCGTACAGGTTGCCGCAGCATCCGCGCTTATCCAAGCGCTTATCACTCAGCCACTTTGTCTCTTATCTTATCGGCTGCTCTATTGGTATTTGCATTTTTCAGGCAGCTCCGCACGTTCCATTCACTAACTTTCTACACGGCCACACACACACACAGGTGACTGACGCGGCCGGGGGGAGAAACCTTAAATCTGTGCCGGCGCCCGAGAGAGAAACGATTGGAAGACCGAGAGACAACCGTTCGCGGCAAAGACCACACGTCAACTGTGCCACGGCGTCGACGGCGATGTCATTTTCTACCCCCAGCAGCCCCCAACGTGGGTAACATTAAACTTTTGACCGCGTTTCGGTTTAACCATCCAATTGTCGCTTATCAATGCTCGACCTGAGGGAAGACCGCTCTCCGTATATACCCCATATATTGTCTGGCCGTACGTAGACAACGCCATCCCATTTATTTTCAATTGGAATCATGTCACTTCTCCAAAGGCCAGCTAACCGACAAAGCACACTGGAGGTGCACTCAGAGCAGACGATGATGTCAGGTAGTTGGCGGCGGCGGGCATTGGACCTTAAGATTTCTGATTAGAAAGGCTCTGGGAACGTGATCAAAGAGTGGCAGCAGCTAATCCTTAATTATGCGCCTTCATTTTTGGTTAGCTATTTGGTGGAGCTTGGAGCTTGATGAAAGAGTGGCAACTGTTCACCCTCTACCCTCGCTTCTCTTGTTGATTAAATTGATTCTTGGTACTTGTTCTTTGCGTCCTACATACCAAAACTTTAATCCAAACCTGGTTTCGAGGATGTCTGGAACTAGACTAGAACTAGAACAAGCCAATCACAAAGGCAGCCAGTAAGTTAGAACCAGTGACTTTTCTTACTCAGAGTCTTGCTATTCGTTTCCTTTTTACTTTAATGAGTCTTTCTGATTGAAAATGAGCTGGGCACAAGAGCCAAAAGCTTTAGTCCGTGCTTTGATTTCCTCAAATTTTGACCGTGTTGCAGAAATCTTTTCTATTAAATAGTTGAATATGCCGTCTATGGAATAAACGGCAACTATCTCATTTAATCTACAATTCTTGTTGTGCTCTTGACCCGGACTAAACCGAAAGCCAAATCCAGCTATGTCGCAGTTCTGATACCCTAACTTTTACAATTAATAGCCCAAGTTGAGAGCACAGATGACATCTTCAGAAGCATTTTCCAAAAGTAATTAAACTTTATTCGCGAAACGCTGGAGATTTCAATAGTATATGCTCAGCACCTTGTGGAATGGAATGTACTCCAATTCGGCGGCATGGGCGCGTCTGTAGTCCCACAGATATTGATCGATGAGTATGGAATTGACATTGCGCACATCTATGGCTGGATGTTTCTGCTTTAGGATCTCCAGTACTGCGTCCTTGACCTGTTCGATTATGTAAATGGAGGCGCCACGAATCTCCACCTCCATGGCATCGCCGTTCTGCAATATGGTGTCTTTCTGCAGCAGCTCCAGCAGCTCGGGTGTGTACTGCAGGCTGCCAAAGTGCACCAGGACCTGTGGAATGCGATAGTCCGCAAACATGGTGATCTTGTCGATGTCCTCAAAGTAGCCAAGTCCTTCGCCCCGATAACAGGACCACAGATCGCCGATGAGTATCTGTGCGCGCTTCAAAATGGACACACGTTCGCCGGCAAACTCCGCCTGATCCCGGAAACACGGAAATTCGTCCACAATCAGCTGCAGCAGAGCTACCGCCGAGTGGTTGGCCGCCTTGACCACATGCTCAAAGCTTCCCTGCCATTTACTTAGCAGGCGCTCCCCCACCTGATGCAGGCACTCCAGCCGCTGCTCGAGCAGCGGAATCTTTGTCTCCGCATCGTCGGGTCGGAATATGTTGGACAATGTGGACAGCTCCATTTTCGAGTAGAATTCGGGGTTCGTTATGTCCAGGCCATCGGCCATAGCCCGATTGATGGCAGCGCAGAGTGCAAAGTAGCCCGTATAACCGTTCACTTTGTACTTGGTGTAGTTATCTAAACAGATTGCGGATTATATACATATATGTTATATACTTTGTGCATTCCGCTTACGTGGCGTCCAGAAGCAAAAGTTGAGAGTGTCCACAACGAAAATCCAGTTGGCTGCGTGTCCATCGCTCGGCTTGGGATGCAGCTCATGTTGCGAGAAGTTGGCTACATCGATGCGTTTCGCTGCAGAATTCCAGAGATTGTAGCGGCCCGAGAGCACATGGTAAGCATATTAATTGTTGACTCACATATTAAGCCGCCAACAATCTCCTCGACCAGCCGGTCAACGCCGGCGGGCAGAACTTTTACATATTTCGCATGGCGCACAATGTGTTCACCAGATTCTCGGGGAGTTAGCGCGGCGCACATTTTGGAAAGCGTTCTTCTCAGCAGAATTGTTGGCATCGATATTTTAAGTTCTTGTGTGTGTAATCGAGATGATCTTTGTTTTCTTTTTTTTTTTTTTGGCAACGCGATACTATCGAAAATCGGCGAAAAGAAATTAGGGGAAATTATAATGACCCTGTTTCTAACAAGAACATATAAAATGCCTTAGACCGTGACGACAGGTAGCAAAGTCTTGTTTTTTCTTCGCTAACACTTTAACGACATGAAAGTTTTCGTTATAAGACTTGGTAATGCCCGAATACCTATTAACGAGACTTTGCTCTAATTTGGATTTTAATTTCTTCACGTAACCTATATATTTCAAATAAACCGCGTTGTTTCAATTGGACATGTTAAACAGGGAAAATGTTAAGTAGTACCCTGTTAAATTAGAAAAAATGCCGCTGTAAAACTCAATACGTACTGTTAACGTACACATAGTGTATTAAATGAAAAGCAGCAGTTGAATGCGATAGTTGGACAGTGTGACCCCAAGTAAAATATGTTGGCGCGAAATGCTCACTTTTTGAAATTGTGTACATAGGCAAGTCGCATAGCCAACTAACTCATTCCATTCATCAGCAGGTTAATTGTCATCCGAAAACCGTAGTAAGCTTCATATCCCTGCTTTATGACACGCGTAATTCGAGTCAAAATATGCAATTAAACAAAAACTTCTTGACTGTAAAAATATTTGCATAACTTGAGCAAACAAATGTCAGCGCGTCACGTCCCACGAAGACAATGGGCTAAGTTGTTGTTGAACTTGTCATTATAAGCACACACACACACAAACACACGCACAACTAACGAACAAGGGTTGTGCTGGTACTTTCTGCTAAAGTGTAGATTAATAGCCGAGCTGGGGGGTTGGGTTTTGCTTGTGGGGCTGGGGCTGGGGCTGGGGCTGGGGTCTCGGTGTCGCTCTGACAGAAATCAGCGCTCGTAAAATGTACGTAAAATTCATTAAGCGCAACAAAAGACGCCAACGCATAACAGGTTGCAGCCAAAAAGGGGCGTGCTCTGACTACTACACACACACACACCCGCGCACACCCTCGCGCACACACACAATCATTTAGACAAAGCCTTGCATAGCTG